AATATATTAAAAAATTAATATACAAATATTAATACAAATCAACTTTTTGGCCCAATCTAGGTACTGACGTGATCAACTAGTCAGTGAAAGGAAAAAAAAATAATTTTCCTGTGTATATTCACTAAATTAGATGGTAAAGTTGGGCCCGTTGGGCCCACCATGGGTCCCGTTTTGATAATATGAACCGTCAATACGTAGAACTCGTCTAGTACTATATGCCTGTAAAAAATCTCTTCTATCGGATATAGCTAACTACATGATCAAATTAGTTTTGTATAAAAATTGATGGTGTTATAGTTAACAGTTAACAGTTAACAAAAAAAACTAACACGATCAGATAGCTATCGATATTCAATCAACGTGATTTTTTACAAACATATAGTATTCGACGAGGTCTACACATTGAATGGTTCCGATTATAAAATCGGGATCCATGGTGGGCCCCACGGGCCAAACAACACCCTCCAATCAAAGCTCGAAAAGGAGACAATATTTTCTCATCTACTCAATTAGCCGACTCCACTGCCATTCCGTACGGCATCCTACCCTATCTTCTCCTACACACTTATTTATACCATTTTTTAATACACATTTTTTCATAAAAAAAGTCAAAAAATTAATCCAAACATTCATATTTTTTTCCTCAACTTTTTAGTTCAAAAAGACAGAAAGTGCACTTATTTAGGACACCCTAAACAACCCCTAAATATTGTGAAGAAACATTGATGGGGAGTAAGATTGAAAAAGAAGATAAATATAATTGTAATTCTATATTCATATGCTTTATTATCTAATGCAAATCAAACAATCGACAAAGGGATAATTTATCCTATTAATCCAATTGGATAGTGAATACCACACTAATTTCATGGGATTATTAATACATTCTCTATTAATCATGTGAATAAAAAATAACCTTAAAGTAAAATCATTCAAAATCATAAGTTTACCTAAAAGTAATTCTTCATTAACTTTTACATTCATTCAAAATGCAATAATAACAGTCCAAGTAAAAAAAAAGTCTAAGTGCGGGTGAGTTCTCGTGAGTGCGGATTAAATCCATAATCAGTAATTATGTCATATTTCAAATCATATCCACCTATATTATGTAAATATAAAGCCTTCGTTTGGGAAGGGGTTTTTGACTTTTTTTTTTTGGTAAGAGAAAGGCCCCGTTTGGTAGAGCTGTGGAAAAGTGATTATAGATTATAACTTAATAGATTATGGCTTATAATTGTGAACATAAGCTGTTAACCTGTTTGGTGCAGCTGTGGGATTATGGATTTAAACAGTAGAGTAGTGTTTGGTTAATAAGCTGTAAAATAGTTTTTTATTGTATAATTGTCCTTTCTACACTTATATGATAAAAAAATGATTATTTTGTCATTTTTTTTTAGTTTTAATTTTCATTAATAAAAGTTAATATAATTAGTATTAATTAGTATCAATTAATATAAAAATTGATACATTTGCTAAAAATGAATGGAAGTATTATTGTCACAATTATTTTCCATTATAAATTAATTAGTATTAATTAATTTCTTAATTAGTATCAATTAATACTAAAATTATTAATTAGTATCAATTAATGGCTTAATTAGTCTCAATTAATACTAAAATTATTAATTAGTATAAATTAATATTAATATTTAATTTTTATTAGTATCAATTAATATTGATAATCAACAATTGTTATTAATTAGTATCAATTAATAATTAAATCTTTACAAAAGTGTACAATATTAATTTATTAATAATTAATACCAATTAATATTGATTTTTTTAATTAATATTGATTTTTTTTCTTCAGAAATATACAATTTTTTATTTTTTAATTAATATAAAAATATACAATATGAATTTATTAATAATTAATACCAATTAATTTTTCAATTAATATTGATTTTTTTTCTTTTTCTTCAGAAATATACAATTTTTTATTTTTTAATTAATATTAATATTTGAGTATTGACGAGGGCATTTAAGTAATTTTAACCCCCCACACCAGCTGCATGCTTAAGTAAAAAATTTAAACACCCCCTGACCGGCTTTTGAGATAAGCTGAGAAATAACTTGATTTAAGTTATAAGCTGGTTAACTTAAGCTGTACCAAATACAATATTTTAGCTTAAATTAAGCTAAAAGTTGAAATAAGCAGCTTATAAATTTTACCAAACAGGCCTAAGAGTGTGATGATTATAGATTAAATGTAATGTATTATTTTTGAGATTTTTATTGATAAATCTCATTTAAAAGTGTTTTAATCCAAAAAGTTCATAAAAAAATTTATTAACCCATTTAGTCCCATGTATATATAGTTTTATTCCATAAAGTCCTTTTTTTTTATTTACACTATTTTTTTAGACTGTTATACCCTTATATTTAATTTTGATACCCTTACAAATATTTTTTGAACGATTAGCAATTTTATGATGTAAATATTCATATTTTAACATTCACATTAGTAAGAATATAAAATTGGCCAGTGGCCCGTGGGCGGTCTGAAGATCGCCCCCGGACCGGGACGTGCTCGGTCCGTTGACAATGTGAACATTCACATTGACATGTTAACATTCACATTGATAAAAATGTAAAATTGGCCCGTGGCCCGTGGGCGGCCCGAAACCCGCCCGTGGGCTGTCCGGGACAGGCCCGGCCCGACCCGACCCGTTGACAATGTGAATATTCACATTAACATATTAATATTCACGTTGATAGGAGTGTAAAATTGACCCTCGGCCCGTTTACAATGTGAATATTCACATTAACATGGTAACATTCACGTTGACAGGAATGTAAAACTGGCCCACGGCCCGTGGACGGCTCGAAGCCCACCTGTTGCCTGGGGCGGGGCGGGCTGTAAATATTCATATTTTAACATTCACATTGGTAAGAATGTAAAATTGGCCCGTGGCTCGTGGGCGGTCCGAAGCTCGCTCCCGAGCCGGGGCGGGCCCGGTCCGTTGACAATGCGAATATTCACATTAATATGTTAACATTCACATTGATAGAAGTGTAAAATTGGCCCGCGGCCCATGGGCTGCCCAGGGCGGGCCTGCCCTGGCCTGTTGACAATGTGAATATTCACATTAACATATTAACATTCACGTTAATAGGAGTGTAAAATTGACCCCCGGCCCGTAGGCGGCCCGAAATCCGCTCGCAGGCCCGACTCGGCCCGCCTAGTTTACAATGCGAATATTTACATTGACATGTTAACATTCATATTGATAGGAGTGTAAAATTGGCCCGCGGCCCGTGGGCGGCCCGAAACCCGCTCGCGGGCCCGGCCCGTTTACAATGTGAATATTCACATTGACATGTTAACATTCACATTGATAGAAGTGTAAAATTGACCCGCGACCCGTGGGCGGCCCGAAGCCCGCCCGTTGCCCGGGGCGGGGCGGGCTGTAAATATTCATATTTTAACATTTACATTGGTAAGAATATAAAATTGGCCCGTGGCCCGTGGGCGGTCCGAATCTTTCCCCTGGGCCGGGGCGGGCCCGGTCCGTTGACAATGTGAATATTCACATTGACATGTTAATGTTTACATTGATAAAAGTGTAAAATTGGCCTGCGGCCTGTGAGCGGCCCGAAACCCACCCGCGGCCTGCGGGCTACCCAGGACGAGCCTGGCCCGGCTCGTTGACAATGTGAATATTCACATTAACATATTAACATTCATGTTGATAGGAGTGTAAAATTGACCCGCGGCCTGTAGGCGGCCCAAAAGCCGCCCGTGGGTCCGGCCCGACCCGTTTACAATGTGAATATTTACATTGACATGTTAACATTAACATTGATAGGACTGTAAAATTGGCCCGCGACTCGGAGCAGGTTTGGACCTGTTGACAATGTGAATATTCACACTGATAGGAGTATAAAATTGGCCCGTGGCCCGTGGGCCACCCGAAGCCCTTTCACGGCCCGGGACAAGCTCGTTTGGGCCCGGGCCTGAGCCCAGCCCAAGAACTTGGGTTAGGACCTGGGGCATCACTTTGAAACTCGGCCCGCATAAGGCCCATTTAAGGCTCGACCCGAGGCTCGGCCCGCCAGAGGCCCGGTGTCTTTTTTGTGGAAAATAGCGAGGCTCACCCAAGCCCGACCTAAGCCCAGGTTTAGGCCCAAGCCCCTTGGCTCGACCCACCGGGGCACCCAAAGCCTGAATACATTTGTGCCAGGGCAAGGGCCTAGGCCTAATTTTTTGGCCCGTGGACCGGTCCAGCCCGGCCCGAATTTTGGCAAGCATCCACGAGGCTTTACATGGGTTGGCCCTGGCCCGAGCTCGGCCAAGCCCCTACACATTGATGATATGAACATTTACATTGACAGTGTGAACATTCACATTGACGATGTGAACATTCACATTAGGGGTATTTTGGTAATTATGTCACCCATAAGACTTATTGAAATATAAGAAAATAATATGGACTAAATGGAACTTAAGTAGATGAAAAGGGTATTTTAGTTTTCTTACTTCAAACTTCAAATAGGAACATTCACATTAACGGTGTGAACATTCACATTGACGATGTGAGGGGTATTTTGGTAATTATGTCACCCATAGGACTTATTGAAACATAAGAAAATAATATGGACTAAATGGAACATAAGTAAATGAAAAGGGTATTTTGGTTTTCTTACTTCAAATAGGAACATTCACATTGACAGTGTGAACATTCACATTGACGATGTGAGGGGTATTTTGGTAATTATATCACATATAGGACTTATTAAAATATAAGAAAATAATATGAACTAAATGGAACATAAGTAAATGAAAAGAGTATTTTGATCTTCTTACCTCAAATAAGACCTAATGAAATAATAAAAAAGAATATGAATTTGATGGAATAAAACTTTTTTAAAAAAAATTTATCAAAAAACTCTTATTATATTTTATAATTAAAATAACTTATTTTATCTTTTATGACTAAAATTTAGCCCTTCCCAAATAATGCCAAAATCGACCATTTAAATGCGGATGGATTCGTTCGGATTGTACGGTTTGTTCGGGTAATCTATGCCCAGCCCTACTTCACCCTTCACACCCACAATGATCCATCCGCTGCCCAGCTCTGTCCGAACGCGACGAGTTTACGAATCAACTGTTTCTGCCTCAGATCCCTAAGATCTCTCTCTGCCTTTCCCAATATATATTATATGTATATTATCACTACTAACTAAGAAATTCAATCGAAAGGATCGAACGATGGATTCTTCAGTGGAGCTGTTCTTGATCCGTGCAAATTAGCCACAACTAGGGTTTTCAGTGCAGAGATTTTGTTGAATTGCAGAGCATAAGTGGTTGATTGTCAAAAGACGGAGAGATTCCAAGTAGACTTGCAGTGAATCCAGTTGCTGAAAAGCGAATTGGATTGGAATTTCAGTGAAAAGTTTTTGGAAAGCCAGGTGGTACCTCAGAATATTGGAGATGCTTGACAAATAGCAATCGAAATCATCAGGGGCAACGAAGAGGTCGGTGTCGGACTTCATGTGAAAATAATCTAGGAGAAGGAAATTGTGGAAGATCACAACAACCACCAAAGTAGGTCTTATTTATAGGCTCTGCTTCTTTATTTATTTATTTATTTTTTTAAAAAAATTTCCTGAAATATTTATGGAAATTTTCTTCCTTTCTTCATAATTGTCTGTGATAGTAACTATCTATTTCTTTAATTTTTTTGGGGTTTTCCTATACAGGTAATTACTATTTAGTGAAATTTCAGTGCTTTTCCCGTAATTGTTCGATGAACTAGACCTTAATTCAATTAGTCGAAAGTAAGTAAAGGGCTTTTCCATGAATTGCTTCTAGTTGAGCAAAAGCACAAGAGAACTTTTGGAAATTGAGTGAGAATGGTCCATTTTCACGTATCTGTCTAATTTTGGAAAATTTGACCTTTGGTCCACCATCTAGTTGTTGAAAACGTGAATCTTGATTTTCTTGTGACTCTGAATCAAGCCATCTGTGTTATCCAACTATTGATTATTAATTTCCCAGTTCATAGGAAGAACGATACATTACACAACCGTGGCACGTTCTAGAGAATAGCAGCCAGTGACAAGACACAATAGTAAGATAATCTGATTTTAGGGCATCAATTGGTTTTCTCGAAATGATTATATAGGTCCTGGAAATGATTCAACTTCCCTAGCAATCGAGTTTGGGAAATTTCCAAACCAGGACATGGTAGCATCTAAAGTCGGGCCATTTTGGCAACAATGTGCACCACCCTATTACAACTTCATTGTTCTAGATAGTGGGTTTGTACTTCATGGTAGCATCCAAAGTCCGGCCATTTTGGCAACAATGTGCACCACCCCATTACAACTTCATTGTTCTAGATAGTGGGTTTGTACTTCATTGCTAGACTTGTTTTCAGTTTTATTTTTTTTTATCTTATTTTTTTTGTTTAGTTTCGTCATTTTTGTTTGTAGGAAAATGGCGACTCCAGTTGAGCCTCCGAATGGAATTAACTCTCCAGGGAAGCATTACTATTCCATGTGGCAAACTTTGTTTGAGATTGATACCAAGTATGTGCCAATCAAGCCTATTGGTCGAGGGGCCTATGGTATTGTGTGCTCTTCCATTAACAGGGAAACCAATGAGAAGGTTGCGATTAAGAAGATACATAATGCCTTTGAGAACTGTGTAGATGCGCTGAGAACATTGCGTGAACTGAAGCTCCTCCGGCATCTTAGACATGAAAATGTGATTGCTTTGAAAGATGTCATGATGCCTATCCATAGGAGAACTTTCAAGGATGTCTACCTGGTTTATGAACTTATGGATACAGATTTGCATCAGATTATTAAGTCCTCTCAAGCTCTTACCAATGACCATTGCCAATATTTCTTATTCCAGGTATATTAAACAGTTATTGATATTGAAATTATGAATAAACAGTTTTTCTTATTGATTTAGAATAAATTGTTTATGCATAGTTTACAATCTTTAATCTAGGAAGATTCTGTAGTATTGAAACTAGTGATGAAAGATTCTGTGAATGGTCAAACCTTTTTTGGCTTAGATTTGTGTAGAGATAGTGGTATATTTGGTTCATGAGATTGATAGTGTGATCTCTGCTTTCTGATTCACATTGATAGTGACTGCCACAACGTGAAGTTGTCTCATATGACTGAACACCTGTGTTCTCATTCTTATCATCTTGTTCACAGCATTGCTTACGTGAAATGGGGAGTTACATAAGTTGTCAAGAGTAGAGTCTAGATGTCAAAACTTGAAAGTTTTAATGAGCTGGATATACAAGTGTCCTTTGTATGGTTTTGTTGTTCCAGTATAACACTTTTTATGCTTAAAAAGCACGTGCAAATAGTACATATTAATGTGTGTTTGGGAGGGAAAAGATTGGGTACACACCTAACCTTTGGCATTGTGCACAAAGTGGTAGTCCCGAGACTTGAACCCATAATCTCAAGGTTATTAGGCAAAGTTTTTACCATTAAACCAATGGTCGCCCCTCCCAAACACACATTAATGGGCAAAATATTGGTATCTATTATATAGAGTGAACACCAAAATTAGTTGGATTGACACTTTTGGAATTTACGACTTTGTGCTTTGTGTGGTATTGTGCTCGTTCAGTTTTACTTCAGACTCATTATTTAGGAAAAGGAATTTTGACCAATTAGAATAATCTAGACCTAAATAAATGCTCCATATAAGACCCAATAACAATATTTTACCTGCAATACGACCTATGGGCGATGTTTACAACCCATGTCTTATAATTTTCAAAATTCTAGAAATGCCACTAACTAATAAAATCTAATAAAATCCATTAAATATGTTCAACAACATTCTAACTCATGAAGTGCATAAAAATAGAATAAAATTAATCATAAACAGGTGTATGAAACATCCAACTTTGTGCTCCAAGTTAAATTCCAATTTTGTTCCTCTTCTTTTTTGAATGCTTGGCATTATATCTTTATATTGTTGCTGGCATTCCATCAAGGAGCATTGGGACAAAACATGGAAGTGACTACCATTGGGAAATCAAATGGAAGTGAGCCCATTTTGTTCCTTTATAGTATTTGGGATGGTTGTGATTATTGTTAGGTTTATGAGACATGATAAATTCAGTCCCTTATCTCTTTTGCTTGTAAAACTAATCTAGATTTCCCTGAACAGTTGCTTCGAGGACTGAAGTATCTCCATTCAGCAAACATTCTTCATCGTGACTTGAAGCCGGGGAACCTTCTCATCAATGCAAACTGTGACCTAAAAATATGTGATTTTGGGCTTGCACGCACCAGCAGTGGCAGGGGCCAGTTCATGACCGAGTATGTGGTTACTCGCTGGTACAGGGCACCAGAGCTCCTCCTCTGTTGTGACAACTATGGGACCTCAATTGATGTGTGGTCTGTTGGATGCATCTTTGCTGAACTTCTGGGACGGAAGCCCATCTTTCCTGGAACAGAGTGTCTCAACCAACTCAAGCTGATTATTAACATCCTTGGTAGCCAGAGGGAGGATGATCTTGAATTCATTGATAACCCGAAAGCAAGGAAGTTTATTAAATCACTACCTTATTCTCCTGGGACACCTTTTTCTCGGCTTTATCCAAATGCCTATCCTTTGGCAATTGATCTCCTACAGAAGATGCTCGTCTTTGACCCATCAAAGAGGATTAGTGTTACCGAAGCACTCCAACACCCTTACATGTCTTCACTATATGATTCGAACTGTGACCCTCCAGCACAGGTCCCGATTGATCTGGACATAGATGAGGACTTGGGGGAAGAAATGATAAGGGAGATGATGTGGAAGGAAATGCTTCACTACCATCCTGAAGCTGCCACAGCCAATGTGGATGTGAGCTAGTAGTGTGACCTTCACTTTCTCAGTTTAATAGTTTATTAGATCTTTATGCATTTTTGTAGTCCCTTTTCCGATTTTACGTTATTTTCCTCGCTTTTTAATAATCTTGATGAATTATGCATTAGCAGTTCGTGCCGTTTAATGTTTATGCATAATATTACTAAGAACTTGTTTATGACCTCGAGCTCTTTGTATATATGTGTGTTGTTGTATTTCTGGAACTCTTCTGTTGTACATTAAGTTATATGATATGATGATATACTATTATGATCATTTGTACGAAGATTTCTTTTCTTTTACTGAAATATTGAACCCTTGTTTTTGCATATATCTGCAAGAGGCACACATGCACACGTGCTTATTAGAATTCCATTCATGCATGTAGATACATTTATAATACATGTATATATGTAATTTGTTTTGTTACAAAAATTGCATCAATACAAGCCCATATATGTGGACTTCTGGCCTGGGCAATTTTTAGGATGTGTTTGATGCCAAATGCAAATGAATATATTCCATTCTGTTTTTATGATTGTTCCATTATTCATTACATGGATGATAACATTTATCTTTTTCGAAATATAATTTAGTTATTTTTGTAACTTGTTAGTTTTGACAATTTATCGAGGTTGAGAGAGAAATTTCATCAATATACCTCCGGCTGGAAATGATGTTTTTACGATTAACTAATCTAGCAAACAATTCAGAAGAACAAATTTGAAATAGTTGTTTGAGTTCTGTTGAAAGTTAAAAAAGTTAGAAGAAGTAATTTGGTCACACACCCTAATTGAGTAAACGGAATATTCGCAGATTATATAAGAGTGCCTTGGCTCATATTTTGGTTAGCTCCCTCATAGAAATCTTTCCAAACTTTGTCCAGCCATCACCAAAATAAGTTGATTTATTGGTTCGTTCTTGAAGGACAGGGTTCTTGCTTTGATATTGATTTAGGTTGATCTTGGGGTACTTGTTTTGGTTTCAATTTTCTAGATTTAATTTTTTGAAAATTGGGTTTTCTTTTTTTGTGTGTGTTTTTTTATTTTTATTTTTTGTTTTTAGTGAATATTTTTTTAAAATTTTAAGCATTTTTTTTAATAACTTTTTTAGATGCATCTTAGTTAAATGTATTTAAAAAGCAAAATATTTGTAAAAAATCAATAAATACACAAGAATACGAAAATGTACTAAATTTTAATATTTTGTTTTGTATTTTTGATATTTAGTATTTTAAAGAATTTTTTTTTCATAAATATTATACTTTTTAAGTGTATTTATGTTATGTATATTTAAATTTTTTTTTTAAATATTAAAAAAATACAGAAAATAAAAAATTTCATTTTTTTAAAAAGTGAAACCAAACAATGCGGAGGGATAGAAGAAAGAAATATGAAAGGCATACCTAGAGACCATAGTTCACACCGGTTCTGACCCTGCCCTGATGATGACCATAGATCGTAAGAGAAGTCACTAACCGGTGCTCTTCATATTCTGGGCCAGTATGCATACGAGCTTCGTTTTCTTTTTGTTAACTGGACTGGATGGCAACAAACCCTTGTGAATGAGCCAGGCCTACGTATATGAAGAAAGAAAACTGTGGTCCTCGTACTCGAGGTAGTTCTCCCATTCTAATGACCCTTTTAACAGTAATTTGAAGTTGATCAATTTTGGTATTCTATATGATGTGTTATTATTACATTACAAAAAATCTGACTTTTTGTGACGGTAGAATGCCGTCGCAAATACTCCAAATGTCGTCTTAAAAGGTTTTTTGCGACGGCGGATGATTTTTAGCGACGGCAAGTGGGGGGTCGCAACAAAGGACGTTGCTAAAAGGTTTTAGCGACGGCACATTACCGTCGCCTTTTTTTTGCGACGGCAAAGTTGCCTTTTTGCGATGGAATTCTACCGTCGCCATTATTATGTAAAAATTTGGAATTTTTTGAGACGGCATTGTGTTACCGTTGCTAAAAGTGTTATTTGCGACGGCAAAAATACCATCGCAAAAGTGTTTTATTGTGACGGGTAACTTGCCGTCGCTAAAAGTTTATTTGAGATAGCACGACGACGCCGTCTCTAAAAGGTTATTTGCGACGGAAAATAATACCGTCGCGAAATGTTTTTTTTCAACTTTTGCAAATATCTTTTGCGATAACATTGCTTATGTCGCAAAAACAAAGATCCTGAGGCAAGGCGCGCAACCGAGACCTCCGGGAACTCAAGACGAACACAAACAAGGGTAATCACCAAGTGTTCTAATGGTGACGTCCAAGTCTTGAGGACGGTTAAAAATGGGGTGTCTACAGACGCCGTCTCTAAAAGGTTATTTGTGACGGCAAATAATACCGTCGCGAAAGGTTTTTTTTCAACTTTTGCAAATATCTTTTGCGACGACATTGCCTATGTCGCAAAAACAATCTGGTTCTAATGTTTTTTGAGACGGTGTGGTGCCGTCTAAAAAAAAAACAAAAAAAAAACTGCAATAAAATTATAAAAAATATGAAAATTACCTGTATTAAATGAAAAATAACTAAAAATAAACCGATAATTACATAATAATATAAAAATTCTAGTATAAAAATAACAATTCATCCATAATAAAAATATTCTTCCATTCATAACAATACATCAGCAAAATTATCCCACTACATAATGTTGCATAATACATATATTTAAATACATAATGTTGTTCACAATTCAAAATAACGTAAATCAAAAACAAAAGTTTTTGTCATGATTCTTCCGTGGTTAACAAAAACAAAAGTTAATCGCAATCTTCACACGCCTGTATTCCACAAGAAGCAAACTGCTACTGGGGAAATATTTGAAAACAAAAAATAAAAATAATTAATGACAATATAATTATGTATTAATATTTTAATTATAAAAAAATATAAAAAATTAAGGGAAAATTATTGAGAAATCCCATTTGGGAGAGTTTTAGTCTAAGGAGTCCTCCTTGTTTTTTAATACTTTGGGAAGTCTTTTTTTTTTTTTGGTAATATGATCTGCAAGATCCCATTTGCTAATTTTGGAATGGATTTGGCTCTAACTCCCAAACCGGGAACCCGATTCGAGCTCCGTCTTCTCCCACAAATCTTTCGTGCCTAAGCGGTCGTGTGTGCCAAGTTTCGTGCCAATCCGACCCCGTTTGGTGATTTTGGGGCGTCAACACCTCGAATTAAAGTTTCTTAAGGAACTAGTATGCCTAGAGTGAAATTCGGCTCTAACTCTCAAACCGGGAACCCGATTGGAGTCCCATCTTCTCCCACAAGTCTCTCGTGCCTAGGCAGTCGTGTGTGCCAAGTTTCGTGCCAATCCGACGCCGTTTAACGATTTTGGAATTCTCATGGAGTCTTTAGAAGGTTTTTGTACTACATTTTTGTGGGTATTAAGTGATGTAATTTGGTTGGAAATTAAGAAAAGGTTCAATGTATAGTTTACCTCAAAGAAGGTGCAACAAAAGAAGATGCGACACTCTGAAGAATACTAACACCAATCAATCGAGTGAAGGCCACCTTATCTTGCTCTAAAACATACTTTACAGTTGTCCCTGAAAAAACCAACGCCTTTAAATCACAAAAGCTTCTCAATTTCCAAGAAAATCATAAAGTTCAATTAATTTAGGAAAATAAAAAAGAAAAGAATACCATTTAAAGAGGCAATGCGATCTGATATCCAAGTTCTCAAAATCACAAGTACAGCAACTGCAAGGAGTTGTGCTCCCTACTTATCAAGCACTGTGGGTACATAAGAACGACCAGCAACCAAAGATCAAAACTCTGTGTAAGAATGCAGTTTTCATATGGCTCAGATATGTCAACATTTCAGATAAGTAATGGAAACAATGAAATATTTATAAATTCAAATAAAGAGCAATAAAGTGTCCCCCCCCTCTCTCTCTCTCTCCCTCTCTCTCTCTCATCAAAGAAGTGAAGTATATTAATAAGTGAAGATATACTGATTAAAATATTTTGTTGCATTGTTAGCTTTCGATTTCCCGACCAGGCTACTCCCTTTTTATTATTTGGATAAATGAATATAGCCTTTTAATGTCCTCTATCTTTGATGATAAGTCAAACAAAAATTTTCAAAACTGTTATATTTCAACCAGTTTATAGCATGCTTAGATGGACACAACTTTTTTTTTTGAGAAATACTTTGAATTTTGATTTTAATCCTTGTTTCTTTACAGTTCAATACAAAATGGAAATACTTCAGATGTTCCTATGGCAACAAAAAGGAACAAGAACACTTTGAGAAGAACGTAATGATAAGTGTCAAAAGATATATATATTTGGAATTGTTTAGTCACACATCAACAAGTTGGAGCTAGGCACTCACCTCTGAAGCTCAAAAAAACAAGATGATGACAAGCCAACCAAAGTGTGCTATAGGAACAACAAAGAAGGCAGAACATTGACTAAAACAACTTAGAAAAGAGATTCTAAGTACAGATTCTGTTTCTTCATTTTTGAGATACACTACTTGCCCTTGGGTATTTTTGAACAAGAAAATAGTTCATATGCTAAAAACTATTTTCAAGGAACTCAATATTTTATATGCAACAAAGAATGGGGGGAGGGGGGGGAATGTATATAGAGTTAAATAGAGAAATTAGCATCTTTCAGATTTTTCTTGTGCCTACCATAGCAAGATGGCACAGATCGAGTACTAGGCAAACAATACAATACTTGGTTCATAATTTCCAGAAAACAACAAATTATTCTTATGTTAAGAAATCAAGTTGGAAAAGAATAAAATAAAATTACAAATAGCTGAACCCTGTTTGGTTTTTTCAAGTGCTATGATATGTTTTTAACTTTTCACTAGTTCAGCCTAGCATAAGAAACAATGGTAACTAAATTAACTAAATTGAAAAACAAAATCCTCCACTTAATTGAATAACAAACATTATTAGATTTAATTATATCAGAAAGGGAAAAAATGGAACACTCAAATTGATCAGCAATCAGTGGCTTATAATGACCAGTAACTAAAGGATCTTATACAAATTCTTAGTCATCCTCATACCAGCTAGCATCATTACCAACATCAGTTATATAAATCATCCCCATCCACCACTTTGTATGCATCATTGACCCTACAATTATGCTCGCAGTGCTTTATCAACTAATCTCAGGTTCCCAGGGCAGTCTAATGCCTTCTATTAATGACGTGAGACAACCATAAGATCTCATAAATTTGAAAATCACCAGTAAAATGTAGCATTCCTATGGGGACAACAGAGAGACATCCAGAGACAAACAAGCAACAGTTGTG